ATATTCACCAATATCCAGTATTCAGCAATATCCAGCAACGTTGAATATTCAGCAGTGTTCAATATTCACCAATATTCAATGTTCAGCAATGTTCAGTATTCACCAATGTTCAATATTCATCAACATTCAATATTCAGCAATATTCAATGTTCAGCAATATTCAATATTCACCAGCATTCAATAGTCAACAATGTTCAATGTTCAGCAACGTTCAATATTCAGCAGTGTTCAGTATTCACCAATATTAACAATATTCAGTATTCACCAATGTTCAATATTCATCAATATTCAATATTCACCCACATTCAGTGTTCAGCAATGTTCAATATTCTGGAAAATGCAGATTTCCCTGCTTTCCCCCATCCTGTGCCAGTTTAATCTGCATTTTCAGGCCTGGAAAGGAGCAGATGTGCAGAGGGAATCCTGCTGCCGCAGCCCCAGAGCGAGCCCCCGCTCCCTGCCAGCTGCTGCTGGGAGAGGGAGATAAAAAAAACCATTGTGGGGCTGGGGTTTGTTTCACAGGGGATTTTGGGGAGGAATTGCAGGGTTTTGGTTGGGCTGTGGCTGAGCTGCAGCTCCGGGCTCAGGCAGAGTTTCCGTTTGTGCCTCGTGACATCCTGCCCGTGACAGGGAAAGAAAGGGCTGCTCCAGGGCCAGGCTGGGGAAAGGAGCAGAAGCTGTGAGCCCAGGCAGCTCCTGCAGCTGTGAAATGTCAAATTAAAAAATTAAAATTAAAAAACCGGGCTCAGGCAGAGTTTCCGTTTGTGCCTCGTGACATCCTGCCCGTGACAGGGAAAGAAAGGGCTGCTCCAGGGCCAGGCTGGGGAAAGGAGCAGAAGCTGTGAGCCCAGGCAGCTCCTGCAGCTGTGAAATGTCAAATTAAAAAATTAAAATTAAAAAAAAAACCAAAAAAAACCAACCAAACAAACAAAAAAAAAAAAAAACCCGAAAAAAAATTTGAATGAAATTTGTGTTAAAATTATTTCGATTGAATAATTGTTCAAATTGGTAAAATGTAATGAAATTTAGATGAAAATTAGATTAACTGTGTTATTCAAATTGATACAATTTTATGAAATTTATGTTAAAATTATTTCGATTAAATAATTGTTATTCAAATTGGTACAATTTTATGAAATGTATGTAAAAATTATTTAATTAATTGTTATTCAAACTGACAATTTTAATGAAATTTATTTTAAAATTATTTTGATTAAATAACTAATTGTTATTAAAATTGGTACAATTTAATGAAATTTAGATGAAAATTAGATTAAAAACTAATTGTGTTATTCAAATTGATACAATTTAATGAAATTTAGGTGAAAATTAGATTAAATATCTAATTGTGTTATTCAAACTGATACAATTTAATGAAATTTAGGTGAAAATTAGATTAAATATCTAATTGTGTTATTCAAACTGATACAATTTTATGAAATTTAGGTGAAAATTAGATTAAATATCTAATTGTGTTATTCAAACTGATACAATTTTATGAAATTTAGGTGAAAATTAGATTAAATATCTAATTGTGTTATTCAAACTGATACAATTTTATGAAATTTAGGTGAAAATTAGATTAAATATCTAATTGTGTTATTCAAACTGATACAATTTTATGAAATTTAGGTGAAAATTAGATTAAATATCTAATTGTGTTATTCAAACTGATACAATTTTATGAAATTTAGGTGAAAATTAGATTAAATATCTAATTGTGTTATTCAAACTGATACAATTTTATGAAATTTAGGTGAAAATTAGATTAAATATCTAATTGTGTTATTCAAACTGATACAATTTTATGAAATTTAGGTGAAAATTAGATTAAATATCTAATTGTGTTATTCAAACTGATACAATTTTATGAAATTTAGGTGAAAATTAGATTAAATATCTAATTGTGTTATTCAAACTGATACAATTTTATGAAATTTAGGTGAAAATTAGATTAAATATCTAATTGTGTTATTCAAACTGATACAATTTTATGAAATTTAGGTGAAAATTAGATTAAATATCTAATTGTGTTATTCAAACTGATACAATTTTATGAAATTTAGGTGAAAATTAGATTAAATATCTAATTGTGTTATTCAAACTGATACAATTTTATGAAATTTAGGTGAAAATTAGATTAAATATCTAATTGTGTTATTCAAACTGATACAATTTTATGAAATTTAGGTGAAAATTAGATTAAATATCTAATTGTGTTATTCAAACTGATACAATTTTATGAAATTTAGGTGAAAATTAGATTAAATATCTAATTGTGTTATTCAAACTGATACAATTTTATGAAATTTAGGTGAAAATTAGATTAAATATCTAATTGTGAGAGCGAGCCCCCGCTCCCTGCCAGCTGCTGCTGGGAGAGGGAGATAAAAAAAAAAACCATTGTGGGGCTGGGGTTTGTTTCACAGGGGATTTAGGGGAGGAATTGCAGGGTTTTGGTTGGGCTGTGGCTGAGCTGCAGCTCCGGGCTCAGGCAGAGTTTCCGTTTGTGCCTCGTGACATCCTGCCCGTGACAGGGAAAGAAAGGGCTGCTCCAGGGCCAGGCTGGGGAAAGGAGCAGAAGCTGTGAGCCCAGGCAGCTCCTGCAGCTGTGAAATGTCAAATTAAAAAATTAAAATTAAAAAAAAAACCAAAAAAAACCAACCAAACAAACAAAAAAAAAAAAAAACCCGAAAAAATTAAAATTTAAAATGAAAAATCAAAATTAAAATTTAAAATGAAAAATCAAAATTAAAATTTAAAAAGAAAAATCAAAATTAAAATTTAAAAATCAAAATGAAAATTTAAAATGAAAAGAAATTGGTGCCATTTTTATGAAATTTATGGGAAAATTATGGAGATTAAAGAACTAATTGTGTTATTGGAATGGATACAATTTGAATGAAATTTGTGTTAAAATTATTTCGATTGAATAATTGTTCAAATTGGTAAAATGTAATGAAATTTAGATGAAAATTAGATTAACTGTGTTATTCAAATTGATACAATTTTATGAAATTTATGTTAAAATTATTTCGATTAAATAATTGTTATTCAAATTGGTACAATTTTATGAAATGTATGTAAAAATTATTTAATTAATTGTTATTCAAACTGACAATTTTAATGAAATTTATTTTAAAATTATTTTGATTAAATAACTAATTGTTATTAAAATTGGTACAATTTAATGAAATTTAGATGCAAATTAGATTAAATAACTAATTGTGTTATTCAAATTGATACAATTTAATGAAATTTAGGTGAAAATTAGATTAAATATCTAATTGTGTTATTCAAACTGATACAATTTAATGAAATTTAGGTCAAAATTATTTTGATTAAATAGATTCAGGCTGGACGCAGGGCAGGCGTTGCCCCTGGGAGGGTGGGCAGCCCTGGCAGAGGTGCCAGAGCAGCTGTGGCACCTGGCAGGGCCCGGGGACAGGAGGTGTCACCCACGGCAGGGTGGCACCGGGTGACCTTGGGGTCCCTCCTCGCCTCCAGCACCCCTGGGTGCTGCTCACCCCTCGGTGCTGCTCACCCTTGGTGCTGCTCACCCCTGGGCGCTGCTCACCCCTGGTGCTGCTCACCCTTGGTGCTCATCCTTTGGTGCTGCTCACCCTTGGTGCTGCTCACCCCTCTGCTCCCACGTCCTTTCCTCCCCTTTGCCTGCAGGGCCTTCGCCACCCGCGATATTTGATGGAGAACCCTTCGCTGGGATTGTTCTGTTCTGGCTGAGGAGCCTCGGAAAAGAAACGGGACCCGTGAGCGATGTGATGGCCGGGGAGTGCGGTGTGGGCAGCGTGTGCCAGCAGCTGCACCTTGGTGTTTAATTAACGGCTAATCAGGTCAGCTGCCTCGGACCCAGAGTCGGGAGCTTTTGTTATCAGCCCATTTGTGTCCTTTCCAGCCTTCTGACGCATCCTTTTCTCTCTATTATTACAGTATAGCTTTAGTATATCATTCTAATATAATATATATAATAGATCAGCCTTCTGAAACACGGAGTCAAGATTCTCAGAGTCGGGAGCTTTTTTTATTATTTCATTTTTGTCCTTTCCAGCCTTCTGATGGATCCTTTTCTCTCTATTCTTTTAGTACAGCTTTAGTATATAATTTTAATATATTATATACCATAATATAATAAATCAGCTGTAATAATGTTTATCACACAGCCTTCTGAAACATGGAGTCAAGATTCTCAGAGTCGGAAGCTTTTGTTGTCATCCCATTTTTGTCCTTTCCAGCCTTCTGATGCATCCTTTTCTCTCCATTCTTTTAGTATAGCTTTAGTATATAATTCTAATACAATATATACCATAATAAAATAAATCAGCCTTCTGAAACACGGAGTCAAGGTTCTTTTCCCTTCACTCCTCCCACGAAGCGCCCACCACCCAGGCACGGGAAGAGCCAAAGCCCGAAGCCGGGGATGCCCAGGACGGGCGCGGACGTCGCCCCGGGCTCGCCCCGAGCTGACCCCGAGCTCTGCCCCTGCCAGGCCGTGCCCGGAGCCCCGGGCCGGGCTGTTCGTGCCCGGAGCCCCGGGCCGGGCTGTCCGTGTCCGGAATCCCGAGCCGGGCTGTCCGTGCCCGGAGCCCCGGGCCGGGCTGTCCGTGCCCGGGGCCCCGGGCCGGGCTGTCCGTGTCCGGAATCCCGAGCCGGGCTGTCCGTGCCCGGAGCCCCGGGCCGGGCTGTCCGTGCCCGGGGCCCCGGGCCGGGCTGTCCGTGCCCGGGGCCCCGGGCCGGGCTGTCCGTGCCGGGCTGTCCGTGCCGGGCTGTCCGTGCCCGGAGCCCCGAGCCGGGCTGTCCGTGCCCGGAGCTCCGGGCCGGGCTGTTCGTGCCCGGAGCCCCGAGCCGGGCTGTTCGTGCCCGGAGCCCCGAGCCGGGCTGTCCGTGCCCGGGGCCCCGGGCTGGGCTGTCCGTGCCGGGCTGTCCGTGCCCGGGGCAGCGCTCGGAGCTCCCAAATCCACTTCCTCAAATGCCCCGGGGAGCGGCCCCGGGCTGGGCTGGAGGGCCCTGGGCCAGGACAGCGGACAAGAGGGGGACAGGAGGGGAGCGGAGCTGGCACACGGCTGGGGGAGCAGAGCTGGGCAGGAAAGCAGGGCAGGAAAGGACTTTTTTGGGGTTTTTGCTGCTCTCAGAGGCAGGAAGCTCGCTGGCAAAGCAACGCTCGCCGAGCCGCGACCCCACGGGGCCTTCAGGGCTGGGCTCCAGCCCATCTCCAAGCTCACCTTGAGGAAGGAGATAAAAAAAAAACAAAACAAAAAGACTTTCCTGAGCCAGAATGTCCCTCAAGCTGCCACGGAACTGGGATTTCAACCTGAAGATGGACGCTGCAAAAATAGGTACGGTGAGGGCTCCTTGGTGCCGGGCAGGGCCGGGGCCGGGCCCGCCTGGGATCGTGGCCCTGTGGGGACACCTGGCCCCCGGTGCCACTTCAGAGACACGGCAGATGACCTGCAAATGATTTACAAGAAGGGATTTGCAAATTTGTCAGCGAGGGATGCTGCGGGAGCAGGGGGACGGGGGTGGATGGGGACAGTCCGGGTTTGGGGGGATTTAAAGCACGCAGGCCCCTTCTGGTGGCACAAAGCCTGGAGGGGACTGGAGGGGACAGGGCTCAGGGGTCCCAGCCCCTCTGACATCGGTGGCTTGGTGCTGGGAGCCCTCAGGGCCAGGGGACAGCCCCAGCCTGGGGTGTCCTGAGCCCCCCGGCCCCGCAGGGCTCCCGGCCCCCCTCAGGGGCTGCTCCGGCACAGGAGCCGGCCAGAGCGCCTTGGGGTGAGGGGGAGCCCTGCGGGGAAAAACCCAGAGCTGGCCCGGGCTCGGCTGCCAGGAGGGGATTTAGGGGTGATGGGGGCGTAGGGAGGGGATTTGGGGGTGATGGAGGTGTCAGGGAGGGGATTTGGGGGTGATGATGGTCAGGGAGGGGATTTAGGGGTGATGGGGGGGTCAGGGAGGGGATTGGGGTGATGATTATCAGGGAGGGGATTTGGGGTGATGATGGTCAGGGAGGGGATTTAGGGGTGATCATGATCAGGGAGGGGATTTGGGGTGATGATTATCAGGGAGGGGATTTAGGGGTGGTGATGGTCAGGGAGGGGATTTAGGGATGATCATGGTCAGGGAGGGGATTTAGGGATGATCATGGTCAGGAAGGGGATTTAGGGATGATCATGGTCAGGGAGGGGCTGCAGAGCCCAACCTGAGCCCAGCCCATCCAGAAATCCACCCTGGGCCTGGCTTTGTCCCGAGCAGAGCTGCGCCCAGCTGGTCTCTGCCTGGCCGGATTTTCCCACCAAGAAACTTGGATTTCTGTCTGAAGCCACTTTTCTGCGGGTGGCCGAGCCATTCTCTGCACACCGAGCCCCAAGGGAAGGGATGGCAGCCCCAAGTGAGGCCTGGGATGGCCCAGAAACTCCAGCTCAGGGCCATCCCACACTCGGGGGAGAAATCCCCACGGGTTATCTCAGAGGCATTCCCAGGAAAATTAATATTTTTTTTGTCCAGAGGCAGAGGGTGAAGTCAGGTCAGAAAAAAAGGCCAGGGCACACCAAGGGTGCTGGGGAGCAGAGGGTGGAGATGGGGCAGAGGCTTGAGCCTGTGTTGGGACCAGGAATTGCTTTTTTTTTGAGAAAATCTGCTTGTGGTGAAAGCCCTGGTGCTTTTTGCAGCTTCCAGCTGCTGGGTGAGCGTGAGTTTGAGTTTGTGTGAGTTTGTGTGAGTTTTTCTGTGTCTTTGTGTGAGTTTTTCTGTGACTGTGTGGGTTTTTCTATGTGAGTTTTTCTGTGACTGTGTGAGCTTTTCTGTGACTTTGTGTGAGCTTTTCTGTGACTTTGTGTGTGTTTTTCTGTGTGAGTTTTTCTATGACTTTTTGTGTGAGCTTTTCTGTGACTTTGTGTGAGTTTTTCTGTGTGAGTTTTACTGTGACTTTGTGTGGCTTTGTGTGTTTGCACTGTCTGGTGAAAGCCCTGGTGCTTTTTGCAGCTTCCAGCTGCTGGGTGAGCGTGACTTTGTGTGAATTTGTGTGAATTTGTGTGAATTTGTGTGAATTTGTGTGACTTTGTGTGACTTTGTGTGAGTTTTTCTGTGACTTTTTGTGTGAGTTTTTCTGTGACTTTGTGTGAGTTTTTCTGTGTGAGTTTTTCTGTGACTGTGTGAATTTTTCTGTGACTTTTTGTGTGAGCTTTTCTGTGACTTTGTGTGAGTTTTTCTGTGTGAGTTTTACTGTGACTTTGTGTGGCTTTGTGTGTTTGCACTGTCTCCGGGGCTGCTGTGGCTTCATTTGCAGAAATGTGAAAGTCACATTTGCAAAAGTTTGCAATATTTGCAGCTTGCCACCGCCCTCACTGGCTCCTCGTGGCCTGGGGACACTTCCCCTGCTCACCCAGCCCTGCCTGTGGCAGCGTTTGGAGAACTGCAAAAAATTGATTTCAGTGAAACAGAAATTCCCTGCTGAAACCTCTTTTCTTGTTTTTTTTTTAAGGCCAGTTCCCAGCAATGGGGGTGCCAGGGGGGGCTCCTGCCCAGGCCAAGGCTCTGGGCCAGCGGTGGCCCCGTGGCCTCTGTCCTGCACCCCTGATTTTGGGGCAGGCTGGGGGCAGCTCTCCCTGCTGGGGAGGTTTTGGAGGAAACGCCCAACCCCGGAGGCCGTTGGTGCAGGAAATGTTTTGGGGGGCACCCCCAAAGGGGCTGCTTGCCCTGGGGGGTTTGGGGAGGGGAAGTGGGGACACCCCCGGGGTGACACTGGAGCTCTGAGGGTTTTCCAGCCCAGGAAATCACCACGTGCAGACCCCAGTGAATTCCCTGCAGTCGCGGCTTTATTTTGGCCCTGCAGCCAAAAATGCAAACTCTGCCCAGCTGGGCTGGCTCTGGGGGGCTGCAGAGGCAAAAATCCCCCTGGGAGTGATCCCTGCCAGGCGTTTGCTGTCCCAGAGCATCTGGGGCTGTGCCACCAGGTGACAGGGACACTGCTCTGCCCAGTGCCAGACCTGGTGCTGTTTTTCCATCCCTGGAGATTTTCCAGCCCCACAAATGTGAGTTCTGCCCCGCTGGCACCACCCCAGAGCAAAACTGGGACCTCCAAAGCCTTTGGGTCACTCTGCTGTCACTGCTGCTCTGGAGAGGGGGCAAACCCCTCACACTCCATTAAAAAAACCCCAAAAACAGCCCCAGAAGGGTCCTGTTCTCACTCGGGAGGGAACCCACGCTGGCAGCCACTGCAGCCACTTCCTGCAACGGGGCCAGAGCCTGGCCCGTCCCTCTGTCCCCGCTCGGTGTCCCTCTGTCCCCACTCTGTCCCTCTGCCCCCACTCGGTGTCCTTCTGTCCCCACTCTGTCCTTCTGTCCCCACTCTGTGTCACTCTGTCCCCACTCTGTCCCTCTGCCCCCACTCTGTGTCACTCTGTCCCCACTCTGTGTCCCTCTGCCCCCACTCTGTGTCCCCTGTCCCCACACCTGTGTCACTGTGCCCCTGTACCCTGTGTCCCCTGTCCCCATATCCAGTGTCCCCCCACCCCTGTCCCTGTGTCCCCACACCCCTGTCGCCGTGTCACCTGTCCCCATATCCGTGTCTCTGTCCCCAGCCCGTGTTCCTGTCCCCACTCCCCTGTGGCTGTGTCCCCATCCTCAGTGTCCCCGTACAGTGTCCCTCTGTCCCCACACCCCTGGTGCTGTGTCTGCAGCCTGTGTCCCTGTCCCCAGCCCGTGTCCCCGTGTCCCCATTGCTGTGTCCCCACACCCCTGTCCCTGTCCCCAACATGTGTCCTCGTGTCCCCAGCCCCTATCCCTGTCCCCATTGCCCTGTCCCCACACCCGTCCCCCTGTCCCCGTTGCCCTGTCCCTGTCCCCACAGCCGTGTCCCTGTCCCCGTTGCCCTGTTGCTGTCCCCACACCCGTGTCTGTGTCCCCAGCCCCTGTCCCCACACCCGTCCCCCTGTCCCCGTTGCCCTGTCGCTGTCCCCACAGTCGTGTCTGTGTCCCCAGCTCGTGTCGCTGTCCCCATTGCCCTGTCCCCAGCCCGTCCCCGTGTCCCCGTTGCCCTGTGGCTGTCCCCACAGCCGTGTCCGTGTCCCCAGCCCGTTCCCGCAGTGTGGTGGCCGCGGACCCCGCTGTGCTGCCCCCTCCGCAGAAGCTGGGCTGGCTGCGCAAGCAGCGCTCCCTGGTGCGCAACTGGCAGCTGCGCTTCTTCGTGCTGCGCGGGCAGCAGCTGCTCTACTACAAGGACGAGGAGGAGGCCAAGCCGCAGGTGGGGCTGGGGGAGCCGGGGGGGCCGGGAGGGGTGACCCAGACAGAGGTGTCCCTGCCGGGGCTGTCCCCTCTGGGGGTGTCTCAGTTAGGGGTGTCCCGGTTGGGAGTGTCCCAGTTAGGGGTGTCCCCTCTGGGGGTGTCCCTGCCGGGGATGTCCCACCTGGGGGTGTCCCTGCCGGGGGTGTCCCACCTGGGGGTGTCCCCTCTGGAGCTGTCCCTGCCGGGGATGTCCTTGCCCTGGGTGTCCCCTCTGGGGGTGTCCCTGCCGTGTCCCTGCCCGGGGTATCCCCTCTGGGGGTGTCCCTGCCGGGGATGTCCCACCTGGGGGTGTCCCCAGCGATGGAAGGGATGGGAGGGCTGGGAGGGAATGTCCCAGGCCAGGCTGGGCAGGGCTTGGAGCAGCCTGGGACAGTGGAAGTGTCCCTGCCATGGCACAGGTGGCACTGGATGGGCTTTCCCCACCAGGCCGTTGTGGGATTCCATGATTCCATGAAATGATCTCCTGCAGGGCGTGGCAGGGCATTGCTGCCCCCCTGGGTGCCACCCTGGCCTGGCAGAGGTGGCACTCAGGGCTGCCTTTAGAATTGTCTTTTTTCAGTCTCCTTAGGGAGAGAAAAGTCCTTTTTGTTAATGTTATGGAGATTTTTTTTACAAGAAGAAATGGTTCTCCCGTGGTTCTCTCACAGCCAAAAGAGCACTGGCAGCTCCCACCTGTCCAAAAGTTTTCTTTCAGCATTTCCAGAAGTTTTCTCCCAAATTTGCCCTAACCCAGAACATCTGCAGCTGTGGCACTTTCTGTTCCCTGCCCATCTCAAAGTGGGAAAGGTCCAAACTCCGCTTCCCCTGCAGGTTTAACGGGGAAATGCAGAGCCAGAAGCATTTAACAAAAAAACAAAAACAAAAAAAAAACCAAAAAAAAACCCAATAAGAATGAGTCTTTTCTGCTCTTTAAATGTGTATTTTCTGCCCAGTAAATGTGTTTTTTCTGCCCTGTAAATGTGTATTTTCTGCCCAGTAAATGTCTTTTTCTGCCCAGTGAATGTATTTTCTGCCCAGTAAAGGTGTCCCTCTGCCCAGTAAATGTGTATTTTCTGCCCAGTAAATGTGTTTTTTCTGCCCTGTAAATGTGTATTTTCTGCCCAGTAAATGTCTTTTTCTGCCCAGTGAATGTATTTTCTGCCCAGTAAAGGGTTTATTCTCTGCCCAGTAAGTGTATTTTCTGCCCAGTAAGTGTATTTTCTGCCCAGTAAGTGTATTTTCTGCCCAGTAAGTGTATTTTCTGCCCAGTAAGTGTATTTTCTGCCCAGTAAGTGTATTTTCTGCCCAGTAAGTGTATTTTCTGCCCAGTAAGTGTATTTTCTGCCCAGTAAGTGTATTTTCTGCCCAGTAAGTGTATTTTCTGCCCAGTAAGTGTATTTTCTGCCCAGTAAGTGTATTTTCTGCCCAGTAAGTGTATTTTCTGCCCAGTAAGTGTATTTTCTGCCCAGTAAGTGTATTTTCTGCCCAGTAAGTGTATTTTCTGCCCAGTAAGTGTATTTTCTGCCCAGTAAGTGTATTTTCTGCCCAGTAAGTGTATTTTCTGCCCAGTAAGTGTATTTTCTGCCCAGTAAGTGTATTTTCTGCCCAGTAAGTGTATTTTCTGCCCAGTAAGTGTATTTTCTGCCCAGTAAGTGTATTTTCTGCCCAGTAAGTGTATTTTCTGCCCAGTAAGTGTATTTTCTGCCCAGTGAGTGTATTTTCTGCCCAGTAAGGTGTCCCTGTGCGCTGGCCGTGTTTCTGCAGGGGCGGCTGGCGAGCAGCCCCGCGCGGGGCAGGAGCCCTGTGTGCTGATGGCGAGCTCGCAGGCGGAGCTGGAGGAGTGGGTGAAATCCATCCGGAGGGCGCTGGGCTCGGCCTCGGGAGGTAAAACCAGGGATTTCTGTCCCGGGAATGCAGCTGGGTGGGGTTGGCTCAGAAATCCCTGGGAAATGGGGCTGAGGAGAGCCAAGGATGAACATTTCCTGGCTGGCTTCATCTTCTTCTTCAGCCTCCTTTCTGACCCTGAAAATGCTCTTGAGAAAAACTCCCATTCAGGGATAAAAGCCTTGGAAAAATGTTATTTTTCACCTGCCAAACTCCTCACCTTGTTTTCCCCTGCCTTTTCTTGCTCCCCTGGTGCTGGGGCTGCTGCAAACAGGGGCAGTGCTGAGGAGAGCCAAGGATGAACATTTCCTGGCTGGCTTCATCTTCTTCTTCAGCCTCCTTTCTCACCCTGAAAATGCTCTTGACAGCAATTCCCATTCAGGGATAAAGCCTTGGAAAAATGTTGTTTTTCACCTGCTGATTTCCTCGCTTTCCCCCTGCCTTTTCTTGCCCAGCCCATCCTTCCTGTGGATTCTGTGAATTTTGTGAATTCCATCCTTCCTGCCCCCATTTTTTCTCCACCCTCCCTGGGTCTCAGCCTCACCCTCCTCACACCCAGCCGTGGAGCTGTGCCAGGGCCTCCTCACCCTCCCAGCTGGGAATTCCTCCCCAATATCCCAGCTAAATCAATCCTCCTTCAGCTGAAGGCCATTCCCTGTGTCCTGTCCCTGTCCCCAGCCCCTCTCCAGCTCTCCTGGAAGGGGCTCTGAGCCCTCCCCTGAGCCTCAATTTGCTGTTTGCGCTTTTTGGGCCTGAAGCTGCAGTGGTATCCTTGGTTCTGGGCTGGAAAGGGATGGGAGAAAGGTTTTGCTTGGAATGGGAAGATGGGAGAAGGGTTTTGCTTGGAATGGGAAGATGAGAGAAGGGTTTTGCCTGGAATGGGAGATGGGAGAAGGGTTTTGCTTGGAATGGGAAGATGAGAGAAGGGTTTTGCCTGGAATGGGAGATGGGAGAAGGGTTTTGCTCCCTTTTCCTTGGTTCTCTCCCCTGTGAATGCAGTGAGGAGCACTGCAGACACTTCTAATGCAGTTTAGAGTTTCACACCAAAGCAGCGCAGAGTGTGGAGCACACAAACGCCACACCCCGGGCTGAGCTGTGCCCTGTCCCCAGCCGTGTTCGGGCAGTGCCTGGCACAGACCATGGCCCACGAGCAGAAGTTTGGGCAGCACCTGGTGCCCCTGGTGGTGCAGAAGAGCGCCGAGTTCATCCTGGAGCACGGCGTGGCCGAGGAGGGAATCTTCCGCCTGCCCGGCCAGGACAGCCTGGTCCGGCAGCTCCGCGACGCCTTCGACGCTGGCGAGAGACCCTCCTTCCACAGGTGACTCTGCTCCCCCATCCCACCCCCAGGCCCGGGGAAAAACAGCCTGTGCCACCCCCAGAGCCCTGCAGGAACCATGGACCCTGCAGAGGGGCGTGAGGGGATCCAGCAGGAACCTTCCAGAAGGGCTCAGGGAGGAGAGGGGATTCAGAAAGGCTTGAGGAAGAGGGGTGGATCCATCAGGAATCCTCCAGATGGGCTTGAGGAGGAGAGGATCTAGCAGGAACCTTCCAAAGAGGATCTAGCAGGAACCAAAGAGGAGGAGATTCAGTAGGAACCCTCCAGAAGGGTGTGAGGGGGAGAGGGGATCCAGCAGGAACTTTCCAGAAAGGCTCAAAGAGGAGAAGATCCAGCAGGAACCTTCCAGAAGTGCTTGAGGAGGAGAGGGGATTCAGAAGGGCTTGAGGAAGAGGGGTGGATCCATCAGGAATCCTCCACATGGGCTTGAGGAGGAGAGGGGATCCATCAGGAACCTTCCAGAAGGGGTTGAGGAGAAGTGGATCCATCAGGAACCTTCCAGAAGGGGTTGGGGAGGAGAGGATCCATCGGGAACCTTCCAGAAGGGCTAAAAGAGGAGAGAGAATCCAGCAGGAACCTTCCAGATGGGCTTGAGGAGGAGGTGATCCAGCAGGAACCCTCCAGAAGGGCTCAAAGAGGAGAAGATCCATCAGGAACCTTCCAGAAGGGCTCAGGGAGGAGAGAGAAGCCATCAGGAACCTTCCAGAAGGGCTTGGGGAGGAGAGGATCCATCGGGAACCCTCCAGAAGTTCACCCCCTGGCTGTGGCTCCCCTTTTCCCGTCTCCCTGTGCCCGCAGCAGCCCCCAGAGCTCAGGCAGAGCCCTGTGGGGCCCTGCTGGCCCTGAGTGTCCCTTGCTGGCTGCAGGGACACCGACGTGCACACCGTGGCCTCCCTGCTGAAGCTGTACCTGCGGGAGCTGCCCGAGCCCGTGGTGCCCTGGCTGCAGTACGAGGATTTCCTGCTCTGTGGGCAGGCTCTGGAGGCTGATGAGGCAAAGGTACAGCTGCTTTTGTTTCCAAAAAAATCAGTTCCAGTGCCAGGGCACGCTGTGAGCTGGAGGGGACAAGGGCACACAGCAGTGCCGGCCACGGGGATTTGGAATCTGGGGAGAGAAAAAGGGAAAAAATGAAAAAGAAAAACTGCCCCCAAAGGCAGTGGGGTTTCCCAGCCTGGCCACGGGGGTTTGTGAATTTTAAAGCTTCAATTTCTGCTTCTCTTTGGGGTTAAAAATGTCCTGGATGTCCACAAGGTGCTGGAGGAGACGAGGCAGGATCAGCTCTCCCCAGAGCTCGTCCACCACGGGCTGGGCTGGGGGGACCCTGCTCCTGCTGGGGCTGCCCCTCCTTGCTGAGCCCTGCAGAACATTCCCTGCAGAGATGGGGCAGCAAACCAGGAGAACCAGAGCCATGGAATGACTGAGTTTGGAAAAGATCCCCAGGGTCACCCCCCAGCCCCGTCCCCGAGTGCCACCACACGGTCTGGAGCTCTCCCAGGGCTGGGGACACCCCTCTGCCCCGGGGCTGGAGTGACCAGGAGCAGTTCTTGGGTCCTGTGCACCCTCCTGGAGCTCTTTGTCACCATTCAGGGCCACCAGGAGCTCGTGAAGCAGCTGTCCCTCCTCCCCAGAGACAACTACAACCTCCTGAGCTACATCTGCAGGTCAGTGCTCTGCACGGGGCGTGGGCAGCTCAGCTTTGGTGCTGGGCAGCAGAAATGGCACCCCAGGGGTGACCCCTCCAGGCAGAGCCTCCCTGAGCTGAGCTCTGCTTCCCTTCGAGGCACCAGCTCCTGGTTTTTGCAGAGGAGAATTCCAGCCCCTGGGATAAACCCCCTGGGAATGTCTGAGCACGAATCACCACCCTCAAACTCACTCACAAATCCCTGGGAACTCAAACCAGGTGTAGCTTTCCTGGTTTTGGTTTTTTAATTTTTTTTTTTTTTTAATTTTTTTGGTTGTTGTTTGTTGTTTTTGTTTGTTTGTTTGTTTGTTTGTTTTTTGTTTTGTTTTTGGGGTTTTTTTTTTCCAAGAAGGTTTTCTTTCCTTGTTTTTTTTTTTTTTTTTCCACAAAAGCCTTCTGCACCAAAACCTCCAGGTTTCACCCAGCCTGGGTGGGGATTTGGGGAAGGGATTTCTTTCCTTTCTGCTCTAAGGGCAGCAGCTCCTCTCGTGCTGGTTTTCATTCTGCTACCAGTCCTGAGCCCGAGTGTCTCTGTCCTTGTGGCTGAGAGCAAGAGCTGGTCAGGAGGATGAATCAGGATTTTTTTCACCAGGATGTTTTGCCACCTCCCACCTCTGAAATGTGAACTACTCTCTCTGGAATTCTGGCAGGTTTCTCTATGAAATCCAGCTGAACTCCAGCGTCAACAAGATGAGCGTGGACAACCTGGCCACAGTGATTGGGGTGAACCTGCTCAGGCCCAGGGTGGAGGACCCTGCAGTCATCATGAGAGGTAAAAGGGACCCCTGGAGTAACTGCAGTATCCTGGAGGACATTTCCATTTTGAGGCATTTGGAGTAACTGCAGTATCCTGGAGGATATTTCAATTTTGAGGCATTTGGAGTAATTGCAGTATCCTGGAGGATATTTCAATTTTGAGGCATTTGGAGTAATTTCAATACCCTGGAGGATATTTCAATGTTGAGGCATCCACAACCTCCAAATTAAAGATTTTCTGTGGTGGAGCTGAAAGAAAGGCAGAAATGTGCCTGGGCAGAGTGCAGCTGTGTGCTTGTCAGGCTGTAAATGTGTTTGTGGTGACAAAAACCCCCTCAGGAACTGACAAAGTGACACAAACTGCCCTCATGGAGTTCAGCAGACTCAGGGATTTGCTGAGGTCATCTCTGCTCAGAGCAGGAAGGTGTGAAATCCTTCTTGGGGGAGCTAACTGCAGTATCCTGGAGGACATTTCCATTTTGAGGCATTTGGAGTAATTGCAGTATCCTGGAGGATATTTCAATTTTGAGGCATTTGGAGTAATTTCAATACCCTGGAGGATATTTCAATGTTGAGGCATTTGGAGTAATTTCAATACCCTGGAGGATACTTCAATGTTGAGGCATCCACAACCTCCAAATTAAAGATTTTCTGTGGTGGAGCTGAAAGAAAGGCAGAAATGTGCCTGGGCAGAGTGCAGCTGTGTGCTTGTCAGGCTGTAAATGTGTTTGTGGTGACAAAAACCCCCTCAGGAACTGACAAAGTGACACAAACTGCCCTCATGGAGTTCAGCAGACTCAGGGATTGCTGAGGTCATCTCTGCTCAGAGCAGGAAGGTGTGAAATCCTTCTTGGGGGAGCAGAGGAAACTCAGAGAAATGTGGGTGCTCCTTTAATTTTATATTGGATTATATATATATATTTTTTTTTTTTACTTAGATATACTCTCTCACTGAGAGTTGTTTTAAAATTTTTTCTTCTATTTTTAGTCTTTTGTGAAGGGGAGATAATATAGATGTTATAATTTCTGTTATTACAATTAGAAGTTAATTATTTTTTAATGACAATATATTATAAGTGGTTTTTGCTTTATTAGTTTTACACTATGTTTTTTGCTTTATTAGTTTTACACTATTAGTTTTACACTGTGTTGTAAATGTTTTAAAGTCAATAATTTAAAATCACTTTTTGTGGGTCTCATTATAATGTATTTTTTATACTTCTATTTTTAGAAAATATTTAGTCTTATTTTTTGAAACTTGCTTTCAGTTTAATTTTTCTTTTTCAACAACGTTTGTCATATTTGATGGTATTTTTAAGTCAGTATTTTGCATCTTAAGGTTTGTATGTAGATGTACACGGTGTGAGCCTTCTGTCAGGTTTTGAGATTTTTTCCACAAACCCATTTCCCACGCTTTTACTTCATTTTTCTTCGTGGCCCTGCTCCTTTTTTCTGTCCCATCTCCATTTCAGAGAGCAAAGGCAACGTTTGTCTTATTTTATGGTATTTTTAAATCAGTATTTTGCATCTTAAGGTTTGCCTATAGACATACACGATGTGAGCCTTCTGTCAGGTTTTGAGATTTTTTCCACAAACCCATTTCCCACGCTTTTACTTCATTTTTCTTCGTGGCCCTGCTCCCTTTCAGGGCTCCCCTGGCCCTGCCCTGAGCCTCTCTGCTCCCCCAGGCACGCCCCAGGTGCAGAGGGTGATGACGGTGATGATCAGCCACCACCAGCAGCTCTTTCCCCCCTCCAAGGACGTGCCTCCCTCCCCACCTGCCCCAAAAAACGAGAAGAAAGCTCCTGTCCCTCGCAGCTCCGTGGGCTGGGGAGCTGCAGAGGACCCCAGAGGTTCCACCCAGAGGCAGAGGGTAAGGCTGGGTTTATTCCCCAATAAATTCGTTAAACGCGCGGTTAATTGTGGCAGGCTCTGACAGCTCAGAGAAGCATTTGCTATTTATAGGTTCAAAAGCTCTGTCTGTCACCCCTGGAATATTTACATCAGGAAAATGATGTAGATAAACTTCCCGCTTTCCTGTGGAAAATCTGCTGCTCTGGGGAGTTTGAGAACTCCCGAAGCTTTTTGGCCTGAGCACATGAAACCTTTCCAGCTCAGGCTGGTGAGGGGAAAACATTGAGGCTTAAAGGCTTTTCTTCAAAGGGATCCCTGCAAAAATCGTAAATGTGGTGCAATTCAAAGTGGGTTTCAATGGAAAAGTGTGGCCAAGGTGCCCTTTGTAAAGCTGTGCCCTGTCTGCTCCAGGGCTCTGCTCTCCAGAGGGATCACCCCAACTCCAGCAGCACCCCATGCCCAGCTGCCACCTCCAGCATCCCCGGGGAGGACACAGAGCCCACAGCCACGCTGGGAACGTGGAAAACTCAGCCAAGGAAAAGAACCCAGACCTTGCCCAGCAGGAAATCCTCCCTGGCAGCTCCGGGGGACAAGGGCAGCAGGGACAGGAGTGACGTCCTCGCCAGTGACTTTTGGAAGAGCAGCCCACGCCCCGTGGCCTGCGAGGGACACAAGAGAACGTTGTCCCATGATCTCTTTAAGCTGCTGGACCTCCACAGGGCTGCAGCCTGCGAGGACAGCGTGGCAGAGAGCGGGGAGGGCAGCGGCTCCAGCCCCAGCCCGGCCAGCAGCGCCTCCGAGAAGGAATTCCTGCCCTGCTTCAGCCCCTGCCACGAGCCAAAGGAGCCTGCCAGCCCCAGCAGCAGCCCTGCTGAGGAGCCCAGGGCTGAGCAGGACAGCAGGGAGTTCCTGCAAGGCGTGATCCACAAGCTGGAGAAGGATCTGGAGGAGCAGAGGAAGGATTTCACGGGGCAGGTGGAAAGGTAACTGCAGGAGCAGCTGGTGCTGTGCCAGAAACACTGCACAGCTCATTCACCAGCAGGGTATGCAGGAGGTCACAGAAGTGGTCCATAATAAAACACAGCTTTTAGCAGGCTGTCTGAAAATCTGTGTGCTGCACTGCACGAGTTGGGTGATGTGTTATCCCAGCATCAATGCTCTGGGTGATGTGTTATCCCAGCATCAATGCTCTGGGTGATGTGTTATCCCAGCATCAATGCTCTGGGTGATGTGTTATCCCAGCATCAATGCTCCACAGCTCCTACACATCATTCAGTGGCACTGCAGTGTTCCTGCAGTCCTTTGCACAATTCCTGTCATCATTCCTGTTATTGCCACAGCATTGGACCATCAGACTCTCCAGAATTCACCAGCAGCATTTGTCACACTGTTGGCTGTAACCATCAGCCCCACATATTGTTATTATATTTGATTATATCCCATTATCAATACACATGTATTAATTTATTGATTTATTGGATCGAGTTATGTGGCCACTGAAGGGCTCAGGGCAGCACCTCTGGCTTGTCTTGGTGCTGCGGGAGTCTGAGGTCAGACTCCCTGGGAGCCAAATGATTTCCCAGCCCTTTTTCAATCCAGTCCAATCCAACCCAATCCAATCCAACCCAATCCAACCCAATCCAATCCAACCCAACCCAATCCAATCCAATCCAATCCAATCCACTCCAACCCAATCCAACCCAACACAATCTAACCCAACACAATCCAACCCAACCCGACCCAACCCAACCCAATCCAATCCAACCCAATCCCACCCAGTCCCATCCAATCCAATCCAACCCAATCCCACCCAGTCCCATCCAATCCAACCCAATCCAACTCACTCCAATCCAACTCAATCCAACCCAATCCAACCCAATCCAATCCAGTCCAGTACAACCCAACCCAATCCAATCCAATCCAATCCAACCCAATCCCACCCAGTCCAATCCAACCCAATCCAACCCAATCCAATCCAATCCAGTCCAGTACAACCCAATCCAACCCAATCCAATCCAATCCAATCCAATCCAATCCCACCCAGTCCAATCCATGCCTCTCATGCTCTGTTTCCCTTTGCAGCCTCCAGAAGGAAAACTATGAGGTGTGGGCCAAGGTGGTGAGGCTGAACCAGGAGCTGGAGCAGGAGAAGAAGAGGAGTGAGGAGCTGGAGCTGAGGCTGATGAACGCAGAGTGCTCGCGGGAGGAGCTGGAGAGGAAAACCAGGATGCTCGAGGAGGAGATAAAAAACTTAACTAAAGCCACGAGTCAAACTGGTGCCAAAACCAACTAGGAGGAGACACCCAGCTTTCCACAGACACCAAATGCAGGAATGCTCAGGGATTGCAGGTTCAGAGCCAGGGGCTTGTATTGTCCAGGGTCCTGCTCCTGCCACAGCCGGGGGCAGGAAGGAGAGCAGGGCTGGTTCATGCTCTGAACCAGGAAATGTCAGAAATATCCTTTAGCTTTTTTTGGGTGTGTTTACTTCAGCTCTTCTGTCAGCTGCTCAGGTTACCTGGGGAACAGGCCAACACTTCTGCTGCTCAGTTAGGATTGCACACAGAATTTTGGGTTCTGGACCCATTGTGCCTTCACAAGAAGGAACCAGAACTGTCCCTCCTGCAGCTCCGGTCTCCCTGCTGAGATACCCCGGGCAAAACATCCATGGATCCCCACACTCAGACTGGGAGGTTCCAGAGAGTCTGCCACCACTTCACAGCTGCCACTCACGAGCCTTTCCTGTGATTTCAATGACCTTGACAGAGCTGCTTCAGTGTTTGTTTAATTTTTTACCTCTGCAAGAAGCTCCTCACCAATGTGAGCGTGAGTCATTAGGGAGAAACTTCTCCCTCCAGCATGGTGGACATCTGGGCTGGAAATGCCACACGCTCCTTTCTGCAAAGATCAAAAGTGTGAAGAGGCCAATAATTCCCTCACAGCAGACTGTAATGACGTGCAAAGGCCTGGCTGAGGCTCAGAAACCCCCACGGCTGGGACAAGTGCACGTTATTTAAAATAAACTGCGCATTCCTGCGCTTCCGCTCCGATAGGCAAAACAACCCCGTGGCTGCAGGATCACAGGGACTCTTTGAAGATATTCCACCCATTAACATTTGCAGGGTTTGCAGAGGTCATCTGGGAAAGAGACTTTCCAACAGAGGTCAGGTGGGCTGGAAGTTCCTGAGAGCCTGGAGGGGAGAGAGCCACGGGCACCTTGAGCTGTAAGACAATGAGGAGTTCTTTTCTTTTTTAAAATGAGCTTTTTCCAGAGGGAGAGAACCATGGACTGCCCGTGCCAGATCTGTGAAACTGCTCCCTTTTCATCCCTGAGGGGCTGGGTGTCCTCTCTGCTCAGCCCAGAGCCTGCTCTGGATTTTCTGCACTTGCACATCTTCTGCTGGAGACCCCAGAGCGTGAGATCCCCAAAATCTGCCTGCTGCCCAGCCTGCATTTCCTGCCTCCCTCTACTTCTGCAGCCAGGCCAGGAAGCTTTTTGGGGTGGGAGCAGCAGAGAATCTCTGCTGTTCCTGGGGCAGGAGGCATTATAACCTCACGGAGGGGTTTTGGGGCCTTTCAGCTCAGCAGGTTTTGGGCACTGACTCTGGATCCCCTGCAGAGGGTGATGCTGCTCCTGCCATATAAAAGCACAACAGACTGTCTACCACTGAGAAAAAAGATCCTTTCCAGCCCTGTCCTGTAGGCTTGGAAATCTCCAAAAAGACATTTTTCACCCTTTAGCCCTCCCACTGCACCGTGAGGACACAAGAGCTTTACCAAGGTGATAACCCTGAGATCTGGCTGAGGATTTTCCTCTCCCTTTAAATGTGACATGGCTTTCCAAATTAACAACAGATCCCACTGCATCCAAAACTGTCCAGCCACGCAGTGTGGGATGAAAGCAAGACACCTTTCAGGCCATCCTTTCAGCCCCCTCACTGCATTCTTTGTGCTAGAGCAGAAAGTCTGTTCTGCTCTTCTCAGGTACTCACTAAATAAATTCATTTAGGAATTCACTCTGTTGTCTCCAAGGGTTTGGTAGGTGCGAGAGGCAAGAAAACAAAACTTTCCTTCCCACATTATTGTGTTTGGATCCGCAGCCAGTCACGCTTATTGTGGCTTATCCCCTCATATTTATCAAAGTTTTGTTTTTGGCACGATAGGAAGTTTCCTTTTTTAGCCTGGCCGCTGCCCAGAGGAGCACGTTGCTGGGGGAGGCGAGGTGGACGTGCAGGAAGTGTCCAGCCGTGGCTGAGGAGGCCTTGTCCAGGCCCCAGGAGCAGGGAGAACATGTTGTTCTCCCCAGGATTCCAGAGTGATGCAGTCCATCCTCCCTTCCTTCACGTGGGAGCTGAAAGAGACCCCCAGACCAGGCTGATTTTGGGCAGAAAACATGCCAGGCTGGGTGTACCCGCAGCTGTTCACCCAGGTGGGGAGGAAAAAGTGTCCCAGAGGCTGGCAGCAGTGCCACTGTCCCTCTTTCCCCGTGTTTTCCTGCCACCTCGCTGCAGCACCAGGATCTATGGAGCTGCAGGAAAAATAACCTGGAAAAAAGGAGGGTCCTGATGATGCCAGGGGGCACGGCGGGCAGCAGGGGCTAAGAGTTGTCCAAATGAGCTCTTTTTTGGACAAAATCATCTGTTCCAGCCCCAAACCCTGCAGGTTTAGGAGCTGGGAGATGTTCAAGCAGGCTCTGAGTGCTGGTGTTCTCCATCCTTGGAGGATTTGACTCATGCATTTACTTTGGAGGGTCCACGCTGCCAAAATCTCCCCGCATGAGGATCCCCATCAAGGGCAGGAGTTCCCCCTTTCCTCTGCAAGAGCTTCCCCAGCAGGTGATTCCCACGAGCAGGGCTGGGTTTCTCAAGAAATGAGGTTTGTATCTTCACACACAGGGGTTTTGTGGGGCAGAGCAGAGGTGGAGCTGCCCCTGCAGGACTGCAGGGTGTGCTCAGCCTTTGGGAAACAGCAGAGAATGCAGCCAGGTGAATAAAGAAGGAAATACTCAATTTTCTTTCTCCTGAGCCTCACAAAAAGCCCTTTTCACCCAGAGCCCTGTCCCTAAGGTCCCCCTGCACCCCTGTGTGGCCCAGGGCCCATCAGCAGCCGCTGGTGTGCCTTGTGAAAATTTGCTTTATCACGCGTAAAAACACGATGTGATATTCCAGCCCTCTTCACACAATGTCCCGATAAGGGGCTGGGAACAGGGCAGGTTCCTGTAATCTCAGCACCCAGGCAGAGATTTCCCCCCAGCCAGGGGGGCAGGGGCCAGGCTCCGACCTCTGGCTAACGAAATGAGGATAAATCCTGGCCTGGCAGCTGCGTCCTGAGCATGTGAGAGGTAAACCTGTCCTTTCCCTGGCAGCGTTTCCTTCCTCATCTCCCTGATAAAGGCTGGCCCAGGCTGCCATCCAGCCCGAGAGGCTCCCCTTGAGCTCCACGTGCTCTGGGTGAGATCCACACTCAACCCCTCGGGCCACCGGGGGCTTTTGAGTCTTTTCAGCGACACCTTTACCCTGCCCGTCCCTTCCCGGAGCTCCAGGGATGCATTTCTGAGCGCTCTCAAGTGCTCCCTTCACACGCATCCACATTTCTGATGCCACTAAAAGTCTGGTGCTGGTTTGAAGTGCTGAGAGCTCTATGGAAATGCCTTTCCAAAAGGAGTCAGGAGGTCAGCCAAGCACCCCAAGGACAGTTGTTCCCAACACAGCAGCTACAGACAGCGCTGAGGAGGGAAAGGTCAAAACATCCACTGCAAACTGGAGTGTTGTCACGCCCTGGGAAGGGATGTTTCCACTGGGGGGCTGGGAATGTGGTGCTCCCTTCTCTATCCCTCCTAGCCGGGGTAAAGAAAGCTCTGTAAAATGTGAAACAGGGGGAAAAAAATCACATTTACACTTTGCAGGACAGGTGGGACACGTGTTTAGAGATTCATTGCATCCTCAGAGCTGGATCTGTCCCCTTGCTGGCAGTGAAGGGTGTGGGGTCAGGGGTGGCACAGGGATGGAAATGCAGATTAAACTGCTGGCACCCTCCTGACCTGCTCCTGCTCACCCAGACCTCCAGCCCCACTGGTGAGGGCAAGCTTTCAAAAGAAATGGCTTTTAAAACGAAAATTGCAGCTGAGCCTTTGCTCCGTTTGTCAGGTGGTGCCAGCAGGGCTCAGGCTGCTCCGTGCTTCCCCTGCTTGGGCTCCTCATCCTCGCTGGGCTCTGGGAGCAGAGCAGGGAGCCCTGGGCCACGGTCCTGCACCAGGATCCTGCACCCGAGAGCTCAAACCAAGCTGGTTCTGTCTGTCTGTCTGTCCCAGCCTGCACCTGAGAGCTCAAACCAAGCTGGTTCTGTCTGTCTGTCTGTCCCAGCCTGCACCTGAGAGCTCAAACCAAGCTGGTTCTGTCTGTCTGTCTGTCCAAATCTGCACCCGAGAGCTCAAACCAAGCTGGTTCTGTCTGTCTGTCTGTCCAAATCTGCACCTGAGAGCTCAAACCAAGCTGGTTCTGTCTTTCTGTCTGTCCCAGTCTGCACCTGAGAGCTCAAACCAAGCTGGTCCTGTCTGTCTGTCTGTCCCAGTGAAGGCCAGGCCGTGGGGGTGGCAGATTTTTGCTTTTCCCGAGGGCACAGAGGGGATGGAGCCTCTGGAAACGCCTGCAGGGCGCACAGAGCAGAGCCAGAAGGAGCTGGGGGTCCTGAGTCCCCGCTTGGGGTAAAAGATTAGTGATGGTGACTTGGTCAGCAGGCTCGGCCCCTCCTTTCAGCGGGTTTGGGCTGAAGGTTTGGGCCAGCACCTTCACCCCGGGGATGCTGAGGGGCAGCACGGGCAGGCCAGCAGCTGGCAGTGGGCACGGAGCTGCAATTCCTCATTCCCAGAGGTTTTCCTGTGTCCCAGCGGCTCCTTGTCTGTGGGCAAGGCCAGGCTGAGGCAGCTCTGAGCAGGGTTAGTGCAGCTCTGGAGCTCATTAGTGCTGTGCCCCGAGCTCTGCCCCGCTCCCCTGCCATTAACTCCCTGCTCATTATCTCCAACGCACTAATTAGGGCCCGCGGAGGAAGCACAAGGCGCACAATCGATATTATTGGGCCAAATTTGCAGCTGGTGTAAGTTGTCAGTGGGCAGAGAAGGAGAAATCCCAAGGGGAAAGGAGGCAGCTGGGGCACTGTGGATGGTGGAAGCTGCTGCTTTCCCTGCCAGAGGAGCATCAAAAATGGTGCAAAGCTCCAGGGAATATTTGGGATGGCGGGCTGCTTTTGCATGGTGTCGCTGTTTTGCGTCTGGTTCAGCAGTAACCGACTGCTGAAAGTCAAAATTGAATAATTTCTGCCCTTCCCAGCCTCTGCATCAGCCCCTGGGTCTGCAGGAGGGTGGGCTCACATTCCTGTGGATCAACAGGAGGGACCCAAAGCCCACCCAGTGCCACCACGGCAGGGACAGTGCCACTGTCCCAGGTGCTCCAAGTGTCCAGCCTGGCCTTGGGCACTGCCAGGGATCCAGGGCAGCCCCAGCTCCTCTGGGCACCTGTGCCAGGGCCTGCCACCCTGCCAGGGAACAATTCCTTCCCTATATCTAACCTAACTTTATTTAATCTAACAAATTTTAACACAAATTCCATAAAATTTTATAAATCTTAACAACACAATTCCTTATTTAACCGAACTGATTTTAACACAAATTTTTACCAAAGCTGGCCGTGCTAAAAGCAGCCAGAGCTGGGTCAGAGCTGCAGCTCTGCCCTCCCAAAACTTTGCATCCCCAGCGTGCCCACAGCCCTGGTGACAGCTCAGGAAACGGATTCCACCAAATCCCACAACAACTGATGGGAGCTGCTCTAATCTCTGGCAGATAAGGAGTTGCTACAGCAAAGCCAACATAACCCTGAGCTGCCTGGCAGGCCGGGCTGTTGTTTAGCTGCTGTTGCTAGCCAGCTACTGTACCTGATTGCAGAGACCACCCCGCTCCAAACCCTTCACTGAACTCCACACATTCATTTTCAACACCTTGTGAAGCTCCCAGCCTGGACAGGCTCAGCCACACAGAGCTGAAGGACATTGTGTGGGCAGCTGGAGAGCTGCAGGGAGCATCCCTCAGCCCTGCTCCCCTCAGCCTCCTTAGAATGTCAATATTGGATATTCCTTCCTCTTAATATTGGATATTCCTTAATATTGGATATTCATTACTGTTAATATTGAATATTCCTTACTGTTACTATTGGATATTCCTTCCTGTTAATATTGGATAAATGCTGCTGCAGCATTTATTCCAGCTAAACCCAGCTGAATTAAGACACAGAGTGTTGTCTCTGTTGGTCATCACAGAAAGCAAAATATTTGGAGACAGGGAACAGGCCAACACCCTCCTGTTCAGGAAGCATTGCTCCGTGCCACGGAAATCCATTCCTCTGGTATAGTTTCCTTTATTGCCGCCTTGCTGATTGCTTTTATCCCTCCTATTTCCTGTCTTTACTTTAAAAGTACAACCAGAATCTTGCTAAGCCATTGAAATGCTGGGCAGGAGGTGGATCAGCTCGTGCTGGGAACAGAACCACTGAACATGTCCTTGGGGGCAGAGACACCTGGGTGACTGCTGGGCCACGCCAGGGCTCAGCCCCAAAGCCTCCACGTGCAGGAAAACCCCAGCACACCCAGGACATCCCACCCAGGAGAATCCCACCATCACCCAGGAAATCCCACTGAGGAAAATCCCACCAAGGAAAATCCCACAGAGGAAAATCCCACTGAGGAAAATCCCACCCAGGAAAATCTCACCACTATCCAGGAAATCCCACTGAGGAAAATCCCACCATCACCCAGGAAATCCCACCCAGGAAAATCCCACCCAGGAAATCCCACTTTGGAAAATCCCATCACCACCCTGCACGGGTCAGTACAGGGGGAAAACCTCAGCATTTCTCCTTTAACACCAGAGCAGCAGTCGGGAGGAAGAGGAGGGTGATGTTTCGTGGCTGTTTTCTGCTCCCTGTGACACAGCTCCTCCCTGCTGCCCTGACATTGCCTGGGCTGCAAA